CCCTCCCCTCACTAAAAACCGATCATCAGAACCGGAAATTTCTTCCGCAAGATCAACGGCCACGATGCGTCCTCACTTCCTCCTCGTGATCCTCTCCGTCCTCGTCGTCCCTCTCGCGGCCAAGCGGACCGGGCCGCTCGTCGGAGGTTGGACGCCGATCAAGGACCTGAGCGACCCGCACGTGAAGGAGATAGCCAACTTCGCCGTCTCCGAGTACAACAAGCAGTCGAAGGCGAGCTTGAAACTAAAGAGCATCGTCAAGGGCGAGACTCAGGTCGTCGCCGGCACGAACTACCGCCTCGTCGTCGCCGTCACGAATGGCGCCGCCGCGGAGCGCTACGAGGCCGTCGTTTGGGAGAAGCCGTGGCAGCACTTCAGGAACTTGACCTCCTTTAAGCCTGCCGCATAGGTTTTTTAATCAAGTTTTAATTACTCTTAATAACGTTGTGAAATTCTGTTTTGGAGGATGATGAAATCGTGATTCTATGTGTGTACTTCTCTTTCTTGTAATGTCTTTTGCTTGTAAGATAAGAAATTGGGTTTAATAAATGACTGATTCAGGATTATGAAAGTTAAATAAAGAGTGTTTTTCATCTTTTTGGACTGAATTTGAGGATTATGCGATAATATTTTTCTTTTAGCCGATATTTTCTGCAGTGAAAAATCTTTCTCGAGAATTTTCGAATGATTACAAAAGAACAATGCATATCTTCTAGGCTTGCGTGTTATCAGTGTCGAAAATCTTTTATAAAGAGGACAAAGGTCTTTCATATTTCGGAAATAGCGTATTGTTTGGTGTATTTTCTTATTCTGGTCGTTATAGCTGTGGATTGGTTTAATTCTCAAGTTATCGTTGTCACGTGACGAGTACTGTAAAAAATTGTCGGACGTCGAAATCAGAATGGCATAAAACGCCAAATTTAAAATATGCGATGAACACTCGATATAACTTGAGAATGGAACCTTAATTTTCGAAACTTTTTTTTTTTTTTTTTTTTGGGTGAAAAAAAAAATCAAAAATTTTTAAAATTTCTGATCTTTTCTCGTGGGGCTTCCCTTTCTTAAGGATGAAGATACGAATTTACATTGTAGCAGCAAAAACAGGACGAGGAGAAAACAGAGTAAAATGCCAAACGTAAGTTCGGCCTTTTTTTTTTTTGTTTTTATAACCTCATATGTAAAGAGATTTGAACTTTAAACTAAAAAGTTCAAAAAGGCTGTAGAATTGTCGTTTGAGTTTAGTTTCCGCTCCCCAATCACATTTAGGTGACTAGATAAAATTACATATCAATCACGCAAAAGGTGAAAAAAAGATTGTCCACAAATTGTCATATTTACACATTAATTCATAAAATGACCGAGGATGGCTTTTCTATATTTTGATAACTATTTCTTAAAATTTGTTACGTAAATCCATAATAGCCCACATCAAATGAACAGATTAAATAGAGTCTAAAAGTGATTTTGTATAACTGTTTAAAGGCATCGACCATGTTGTTCAATAGGAAAACCAAATGAAGTTGGTAAGGAAGGAATGGTATAATTGTCCAGATCCCTAGTGAGAGTAAGGGGAAAAAGTGCAAGTCAGCAATATGATCGGTGAATAAGAAGGCCAAATTGTAATTGGTAATGTAAGGCCTCGTTTATTTCACTGAGAATTTAAAATTTGAGTTTTGCTACAGTAAAAAACTCTCATATAAAATCACATCTTAATTCGAATTAAAAATTCAAATCAATTAACTAAATGGACCATAAATCTCTCCTGATTTGAGAGGGCAAAGGGGAAAAAATTACAAGCCCACTAACCATATTACTGAATAGGAATGCTAAATTGAAAATGGTAAGGAATGAATAGTATAGATCCCCCCCAAATTTTTTTTGAGGACAAAGGGGAAAAGAGTACAAACCATTAATCATATTACCAAATAGGAATGGCAACTTGAAATTGGTAAAGGGAGTAATGGTGCAAGTCCCCCCAGATTACTAGCACCAACCATGTTGCTCAATAGGAAGGCCTAACTGAAATTGGTGAGGAAGTAATGGTAAATATCTCCCCAGATTCTAAGAGAGGGCACAAGGAAATAAAAAAAAATACACACACACACACACACACACATATATATATATAAGCCACAAACTATATTGCTGAATAGGAAGGTCAGAATGAAATTGGTAAATCCAAGATTCCTAGCGAGAGTAAAAGGGGAAAAAAAGTATCAAACCACAGACCATGTTTATTGTTAACTAGGAAGGTACAATTAAAATTGGTTAGAAATTAACTGTATGGCTTCTATTGAACCAAAAAAAAAAAAAAAAAAAAAAAGAGAGAGAGAAACAAGCAAATAATACTTTTTTGAAACGTTTTTGAAGTAGTAAAAAATTTATTTGTTTATTTATTTCGTAGTAAATATGTTACATATTTCAATATGTTTAAACCATGCTATTAAATTATATATTTATGGGATGTTTGGTTTGAGGATTCAAATCATAATTTGAATAATGGTTCATGATTCGTTACAGTATTTTCTCTCACAAAAAATACACATAAATTAAAAATAGTTCTAATCACTTGATTCTAATTCATGAACTAAACGTCTCATCAACGCGCTTTTTTTTTTCTTTTTAATTTTTGGCCTACTTGTTTGGCTCATTGGCTTTGAGGCTTCTTTCTTGAAAAAATCACAAATGGTAGGCCAGCTAACCAACCTCATAGGTGGATAGACCAGTATAAGTCTTTTCAAAGTAGCATGGGCTGTTGGCCCCGCGGAGAGGAATTTGGTGTTCTCCCCTTGCCTCTTTCTTTTTTGTTTTTCTCTAAAGAGGTATTTTGAAGGTCCATGTTAACGTACACAATGGTTCTAAAAAGGCCTGGAAATTCCATGTTGCTCCATCATCTACTTCTCGTGATAGGATAATGACTGCCACAGAAGTGATATATATGAACTTTGAAATGAGTCAAATTCTTTCCGTGTGCGTTTAGTTGATAGATTCGTACTATAATTTGAATTATAATTCGTAGTTCACTACAGTATTTTCTTTCATAAAAAACACGCGTAAATCAAGAATGGTTCCAAATCATGGTTTTAAATCCATGAACCAAACGTCAACGCCCTTTCTATGATTGCAACAGCTAATTTGATAAAATTGCAATAATAATCCTAGGTTAAACGGTTCATTTAATAGGTGAGGTCCGATTTAAGTTTAGAATTGTACGATTCAATACTGCTTTGTATTAAAAAAGGAGAAAAGTTCAAATTAAAGGCTACCATGCATTTTGACAATTGTTTTAAGGTTTGAACTCAGCTTAAGGTTTGTTTAGCCCACTATTTGGATGTGAATTTGTTGGCTAGCTCTTAGTCTCAAAGGATTAGTATAGACAAGTGTTGGTGAACACTTCCTGAGTTCTGATATTGAAATCCCACTCCAAAAGTGCAAAAATAATTGCGCTTGAAATTAATTTCAAAATAATTTTATTTTCAATAAAAAGTAAAAATGAGTTGTTTTGAAAATCATTCCGAGACCGATTCTCAAATTGCGTTTGGTTAGTTTTTTAAGAGATTATTTTGAGTATAATAAAAATTGAAATCTTGTTTATTAATTAATATATTATAATATTATTGATAAAAACTAAAAAATGAAAACAAAAAAGTGAAAGTAACTTTCAACCGTTTTTTAATTTTTTTATAAAAATCATTCTCAATGTTTTCGTTTTTAAAACTTTTACTAAATAAACGTCGTTTTGTCTTCGCTTTCATTTTTTATTTTCAAAATATGTAAAAACTGTTTTCAAAAACGGTTTTAAGCACAATCATTTAAGGGACGTCCTATATTCGTCCCCGTTTCTGAATCATGATTCATGGTTCTCTACAGTATTTTTTCTCACAAAAAATACACGCAAAACAAGAATAATTCTGAATCATTATTCTGAATACATAAATCAACCGTCCTCTTTAGTCTTCCTTTTTGGATATACATTCACTAATTTAGGCGCAACAGACAACACGTATAACCCACTGTAGCCTCTACCACCACCACCACATAATTCATGAAAGATGAACTCGTATCAATCATGTAGACGATATGGATTTTCCTTAGTGGAGAAAATTAGAAAGAAAGAAACCAGAGGCATGACAATTCTAGAAAAGAGTAGATGCATCCCACTTGTCAGCTTTCGAATCGGGCTCTAGTGCTTTTTTTTATTATTATTATTTATTTGTTTGTTAAAACTCCATAAATCGGAAACGACTCACAGACTCATTAAACATCAAATTGAGCTAGCTTTTTAATTGGCTCAAAACTGAATTGCTTGAATTTAACTTTATTTCGATGTCTCCAGAGGTGACAATAAGGCTCCAACTTGCTTTGTTAGTTAAGGTTCGTTTCGTACAAGAATTCAAAATAAGGTGATTCTAATTATAAATCTGAAATTAGAATTATGATTTAGAGTTCAAATCATGATTCTAAAATCATGATTCAAAATTAGGGGTTTGAATCACCTTAAATCAAGAGATGGTGGTTTTAGAATCATGATTTGAGCTAGTTTAAAACATCATATCAAATTATGAATCATAATTCATAATCATCCAAACTAAATATTAATTATGAATCATAATTCAAAGTCATGATTCATAATCACTGTAAACAAATACTTATTCTAAATCAGAATCTAAAATTATGATTCTGAATCCATCTACCAAATGTACCCTTAGTCACGTACAAAGCAGAATATAAAAGGATGTTTCTAGAAGATAAATATATAGGTAGGTGATCGTTAAAGAAGAAGAAGAAGATGCATGTTAGTTAATCCGTGGGGTAGAGAGAGAAAGAGAGAGCATTTATTTTGAGTGGTGAAGGCATGTGAATATGAAAGGTGTAAAGGGCAGCTGAGACTTGGCTGGAATGCAAAGTCAAGTTGCACCATTGCCATTTCTATCCTCTTATCCCTTTTTAACACTCAAAACCCATACTCGTTTGTTCGTCAAGTTTATCATGACTCGTTGATCCCTCAAAAGGACACAATTTTTAATTTGCTTCTGTTGTTCAAATGTCCGAAATAATATTTTGAAAACCACTATCTAGAATCCACTCGTGAAGAACCAACAACGTAAATTTAAGACGTAGATTGAAATTTAAGGTGAAGAATTTTTTGCTTTTACATCTGTGTTCATCAGAGCGAGTGAAGAACAAATCAAGTACATATTGAATATTGGTCCAACAATGGGTACACTTGGCATGTGAAGCAAGCAACATGGACCAACCCAAGAGATAGAAAAGTCTCTTACCTTGACTTAAGCTAAATCTCATTATCAAAATAATAATAGTAATAAATAAATAATAATAGAGTAAGGGTCCGTATTATAGTTCGTGACTCGTTACAGTATTTTTTCTCATAAAAATCACATATAAATCAAGAACAGTTTTAAATTACGGTTCTGAATCTATAAACCAAACGTACTTTTATTATATACGTTTGGGTTCAAATTACAAGTTTATTGGATCATCGCTTACCACCTTTGAATTATGATCGGAGAGCTTGAGATGTTGGAGGGCATAAGAGACTTTTGCCCTTTTATTATTATTATTTTTTGCTGGGCCCTTCAATCAATTATTTTGGAACATCGCATGACATCTTCTGTGATCGAGTATAAGCATGCAAAAGGTATAATTCGCATATTTATAAAATAAAGAAGACGTTTTTATGATTATGCTTAAATATAATCCCCTTTTATCTAAGGAGTAGTATAAAAAAATAATGCTTGTAAAGTTAATACAAGCATTATTTTTAAATGTGACAGTTAGTTAACGATGTAAACAATACGTAGGCAGTTAAATTATTAAGGTGTGGTGTAAATGCCTTTTAAGACCTATCAAACATTAAAACATAAAATTAGACGGAAAACTCTAAATACAACAAAAGTATAAATAAATCAAGAACATAATATGAACATTTACCTCAAATTCTTATTTAATCAGTTATTTCATTGCAAAAATTAAGGTTGTATTTAGAATTGATCACGTTTTTATTTTTCACGTTTTTTGAGAAAAAAATAAAAACGTTTTCAAAACGACGTTTGGCGCAATAAAGACAAAAAACGGAAATGAAAACGATTTTTTGGTTTAGTATAAAATGAGAGAAAAATGAAAAATGACTTTTAGTCGTTTTTTTCATTTTTTGTTTTCGTTTTCTCCTCTCTCGAGCAGAGAGAGAGAAATAGAGACATTAATGGATTTTTTTACATTGAAAACAATCTCTTAATAAAACTATCAAACGCATTTTCAAAAATAATTTCTATATGAGATTGAAAACGTTTTCATTTTCATTTTCATACAAAAAATAAAATTATTTTGAAATGAATTCCAAACGTGCTTTAAAGTATCCATTTCAGCCTCACTTAAACAGTAGGCGACATGCTATCTATTCTATCTAGGATTTGAGGTATATGAAACAAAATGCTCATTCTATCATATAAATATAGATCTGGTTAATTTTAAAAAATTTTAAATGTTAGGGATCCAAGTGAAATTTGATATAAAACGCGTTAGATTAATCCATCATCTAAGATTCTAAGTTCCTATTTGCTTCAACAACTCAAACTTGTTTAGGATTTAAATTTTAGTTCAGAATTCAAACTGATGTTTGTGAGAGAAAAATTCAAGAATAATTCAAACCATTAATAATGGTTCAAGGACAATTCAAATTGTTGATTTTAGAATTCACCTCCCCCTAAATTCTAACAATCTGAATTGTTGTCAACAGTCTAATAGTTCTATATTTCTACATTTTCTCTCTCTCTCTCTTCAATTTCAATCTTAAAATTGTCATAACTTCTTCGTTTTAATTCTGATTGAGATTATTTTTTTAATGTCATTTATAATGAGGTTTTATAAGATTTGTTACAAAACTCTAATGATAGTTTTTAACATTTTATCCAAACACAGTTCGGGTTTTATTCTCAATTCAAATTATGATTTATTTACATATCTAAATAACAGTTTAGATCACAATTTAAATCATTACAGTTCAAATTCTACAATTGTAACTAAAAAAATGTAAGGGCTCGTTCATTTCACCAATTTGAGTTTTTAGTTTTAAGTTTTTACAGTAAAAAGCTCTCAAAAAATATCACATCTAACTTTTTCTGCTACAGTGAAAAATTCTCACAAAATATCACATCTCAACTCGAATTAAAAACTCGAATTCGCGAAGTGAACGATGCCTGAATCTCTACCATTTGAGTTATTGAACCAAATAAGCCCCAATTACTAGAAGTCGGTTCGTGCACCGGCAAACACTGAATCACACTTACATCTCAATCCACGCTTTCAATTTTAACGACCAACCGTTGGAGAGAAGCCCTAAGTAGAACCGTCGGATCTCGCCAGATGTTATCTGAATATAATGCCCTATAGATACGAAAAATTTAAAATTAAAAACAAAAACAAAAACAAAAAAACAAAACTGATCCTTCTGCATCTCTATCATCTTCCTCTCGTCTGTTACTCCGACGCTAAATTAGGTTCGACAAAAAAGGGAAAACAGAATCCACGCTCTGAAAACCCTAGGAGAGATAGAAAAGAGAGAGGGGGTTTAGCGTCTCGATTCAAGCAACGGTTCCAATCGCCTCGCCGGCGGCGAACGGGCTCTGGCTCTAGAACTTGGAGGCGCAGCTGCAGAGACGAAACGGTGCGTTTTGAGACTTCATAGATAGACGACGAAGATGAAGGGTCTGTTCAAGTCCAAGCCTCGGACTCCGGTCGACATCGTCCGCCAGACTCGTGATCTCCTCATGATTGTCGATCGCAACGCGGATACGCGCGAGAGCAAGCGCGAAGAGAAGGTCCGATTCGGCTAATGTCTATGAATCTAATGTCTGCGTATTTGACCTAACCCTAATTGTGTTTTTCTTTCTTTAATTCGGTTCTATGGCAAATCCGGATCGGCGGTGGAGTGGTAGTCTCGACTCTCGTTGAGCTTGGTGATGCTTATATGAGCTGGAGTAGAAAAAGGATTGACTTCAGAAAATTTTTCAACTTTTCCTATTTGTTTATTGAGCTTGGTTCAGTGATATTATGGATTGATTTTTTTACATGTTCGTACACATTTTTCAGCCAACAGAATGTGATGAAGTAGATGATCAATCGCTTATTCTTTGATTTTTTCTTGTTTTTAGTGTACTAGGTATTAGATAGTTTGGGATCTACCAAGAAGAATGATGGAAAACTGCATCAAGCTTTCGAATTAATGCGAATTGTGTTGGTTTCTTATTTGCTATGTTAGGATCACCATGTGTTTTGGATGTTACATTTATGCAGATGGCAGAGTTGTGTAAAAATATAAGGGAGATGAAGCAAATTCTTTATGGCAATAGTGAGTCTGAGCCGGTCGCAGAAGCTTGTGCGCAATTGACTCAGGAGTTCTTCAGAGAGAATACATTGAGGCTTATTATTAGGTGTCTTCCAAAACTGAACTTGGAGGTAAGCATGAAACAGATACTTGTAAAACGGTTGACGTCAAATAATTAGATTTATTGCCTAAACATTCCCCGGTTAGTGCTCTCACCAGTTAAAGATGTCGAAGTTTTATATTGGGATTTGGCTAAGATATGCAGGCCTTATAAATTTAGACTTTATCTACAATCACAGGGCTTATTACTAGGTTTTTTTCTCTGTTGTTTTCAATTATGTTGACAGCATTATCTTCTACAGGCTCGAAAAGATGCCACTCAAGTTGTTGCGAATTTGCAAAGGCAGCAAGTTCATTCAAAGTTAATTGCGTCTGACTATTTGGAAGCAAACATAGATTTAATGGATGTGTTGATAGAAGGGTAAGTTTATTTTTAATATATAAGGAGAATTCGTTTATTATACAAGTAATTTATTCTACATTATATAAGAGCTACACCATGATTTATGGCTTAGCCTAACCTTGTTTACAACATCCGGTATATATTTCTTTGTAATTTTTCTTCGCATTGGTTCCCCGACTAATGGAAGAGGTTTTGTTGAATACTGAAAATTGACAGTCTTTAAACTTAAATAAGAGGTTTCCTGAACAATGCTTTCGTACTTGCACGCTATGAAATTCTTGGGTAAAAGTTAAGCTTAGGCTATTGGTGGTGGTGCCAAGATGTTTAAAATATGAGTTCTCTTTGAGGTTTTGAGTTTGCCCTTCAACGAGGTCCTTCCTTTATGTTCAGTTACGAAAACACAGACATGGCTTTACATTATGGTGCAATGTTGAGGGAGTGCATACGTCACCAAAGTGTTGCAAGGTAAGCAAAATCAGTTGCTGGTTTGTTATTTTTCTATTTCAAAATCGATAGAAAAAAAATAACTTAGTGAAAAGAACGCCATATCTTTATCCTCTGGATAAAATGCCTTAGACAATCAGTCGAGATCTTAATCAAGATCTCACGTATGTCAAATAGTAATTGTTCTTTGTTAAACTGTTACATTCATGTTCCCCCCACCCCCAAAAATAATAACGATAATAATAATAAAAATAATAATAATTGTAACAATAGTGAGAACAACAATGACCAAAAAAAAACCTGGACTGTTTGATTTGTATCTTTAGACAAGATTTTAGGCGTCTCTATAGGTAAGGTGGCAGCAATTATGATCAAGATATGATTGTATTTTCAGCTGTTGCTTGATGACTTTATCCAGCATAATTTTGTGAACCTATTGAAACTTCCTGGTTTAACTGCAGGTACGTTTTGGAGTCTGCACACATGAAGAAGTTCTTTGATTATATACAACTTCCCAATTTCGATATTGCTGCCGACGCTGCTGCAACATTTAAGGTTGAGTTAACTGAATAAATTCATTTATTTATTCTATTCATTTTGTGTTTGAGTGTATTCAGCCTTTTGCAGTCATTTTGTTCAATTTATGGACTCACAGTACCGCACTCGCACTGGAGTATCAATCTGATTCTATCATGTCAACATCTTGCAGGAACTCATGACGAGGCATAAATCTACTGTCTCTGAATTTCTTTCCAAAAATTATGACTGGGTAAGATACCACTGACAGCTTTCTTAACTTTTCTCCTCTTACTCTATTTTTCATTAAGTTGTATTTAAGAACCTCAATCATGCTTCTCCTGTTAAGTATCAATACTTATTATCTGCTTCTCAATTCTTTGTTCCTAATTGACCAAAGATTGATATTCTTATTCTTTTCTCCATTTTTTTTTCCTGGTGTCAGTTTTTTGCAGAGTATAACTCTAAACTACTGGAATCCACCAATTACATTACCAGAAGACAAGCCGTCAAGGTATGACGAGTTTTGTGATTACCATGTTCTTGAAATAGGATGCCTTCTGTGGGATTGCCGTTTCAAAGATGATATAATGTTTTCCAAATGACAGCTGTTAGGAGATATCCTTCTTGATCGTTCGAACTCTGCTGTGATGACTCGATATGTGAGCTCAAGGGACAACTTGAGGATTCTCATGAATCTTCTCAGGGTATGATCTATATTCACAGCTTCCTTTGTACTTCGAGTCATAGATAATCTTTGGTGCTATGTTGAATTTAACATACTCACGTGTTTCATTGGCCAAAAAATAGAAGCTTGAATGACGTTCAATGACCAGAGAAAAGATGGTCCAAGTGTTATATGAATATTTGTGTTAAACGGTGGTTTCTGCACTTTTCAGGAGTCTAGTAAGAGCATCCAGATAGAAGCATTTCATGTTTTCAAGGTACAATATCTTATGGCTATCCACTCAATGTGAATCCTAAGAAGTTTCAAGAGTTTCCTTCAATACTTTGTAGTAACATGGTAATGGTGAATTCTTACAGCTTTTTGCTGCGAATCAAAATAAACCTCCGGACATCGTCAGCATACTTCTGGCCAATAAGAGCAAGCTTCTACGCCTTTTTGCTGATTTCAAAACTGATAAAGGTAGAATATCACTCTGTATATTCTATTTCTGGCAGTTGGTCTGGCATTCTGTTTACCATTTTTGCTCGGTTTGTTGCAGAGGATGAACAATTTGAGGCAGACAAAGCTCAGGTGGTGAAAGAAATTGATGCCCTGTGAAGCTGTGACATATGCCCATGATTGAGCTTTTTGTTGTCTGTGGGGGGCCTTTTTTGCTTGATTCATTTGTGCATTTCATATATAGTTCTTATAGAACGAACATGTGACTCTACCACTGCTTAAAAGATTCATCATCTTTATCTAGCTTCTCTCTACTCTTCCTGTTCCGCAGCTCACGTCTCTGTTCAGCATATTAAGTTAAGGACACGCTCGTGTAAAACGTAGATAAATAAATTGATGGATGAGTTTAATGCAAAAATTAATGCACTTATTTGGCTCTTTTATCAAGTGTAACTCGTCTTATGTTTTGCCTCTCTCTCTCTCTCTCTCTCTCTCTCTCTCTCTCTCTCTCTCTACAGCTTTGCTTATTTTTTGTCCAATTACTTTAACTCGATCAAGCTTTTGTTATCCAAATTTGGGATCTACAAGTTAATGGGTGGTCCCGTTGTAAAATCAAAGAAAACGTATCAAAACCAAACTCCACTTTCTTATAAGAGGTCAAGAATAAAGGTTATTTTCAAGTCGTGTGATGGAAGAAGAGTGTGGTATTCTGTGTTCCACAATTCTCATGGGAGCGTGACTGGTCTCGCCTCGCAGGAGATTGCGAGTGACCGACAAAGAGTCACGAGTGAACATGACGGATCTATAAACAATAGCATATTTTTTTGGCATATTCCATGCATCATCTTATTATTGGGGGAACTCTTATGATCTCCGCTGTTAAGAATATTTGTGCAGAATATTCTCACCTTTTCTTATTACTGTTATGTTATGTCTCCTATTTGTTTTCTAGTTATCACCTATCAATCAGAGGAAGCTTCGTCCATGGTGACAGAAATTGGTTGGACGCATAAGGAATCAATTGTTAATCTTTCTGGTTTGATTTTAGGGATATTTACATTTTTATACCATGTGTTTTGAATTTATTCAAAAATTATACCTTCAGTTTTTAATCTCATCAAATGTATATTTTTAAATTAAATTTAATATCTAAATTTATACCTTTTTCACAGTCAACCTTCAATTTTTAACATAAAATACCTAAAGTACCCTTAAATAAAAATAAAAAAAGAAAACTAAAAGAAAAACTTTAAATTTACGGTTTTAACCTTAAAAATATCCACAATACCATTGAAATGGGTTTTTTTTTGTGTTTTTCATTTTTATTTTTTGTAATGTTGGGAAGTTTTAGTATTATTTTCTCTTTTTTTCTTAAGGATAGTTTGGTCTTTTTAAATGTCAAAATCAATTATTGATCGAGATAAGAGATAGATTTGTATATTAAATCAAATTTAAAAGTATACATTTAATGAGATCAAAAATTAAAGGTATAAATTTTGAATAAAATCTAAAACATAGGGTATAAAAATGTAAATATTCCTTGATTTTATCTTAAATGGTTCGATGGGTTAAACCCTTTTACAAAAGAATTCTCAAGATCAAAATTTGCCTAACAAAGTTGGACCATTGGATATGCATTTACAACAACATGCCTTGTAAGGTTGTTAGCAAGTCCTCGCGCGTAGGGGTATAAAAGCATATTATTTATTTCAGTTCTAAATGCTAAACTCCTTTATTCTCCATAACCAAAAATAAACTAGAACGACGTTTGCTGACGATCACAAATTTCAACCGAAAATAAATAGCTTTTTTAAATATTAAGTCGAGTATGTGCAACGTCATTTTATTTAAGGTCTCATTTTTTTTGCTGATTCGAATTTTGTTATAGTAAAAAGCTCTAAGAAACAGTCACATTTAATTTTTTTATTACAGTAAAAAACTCTCACACAACATTACATTTCAACTCAAATTAACGAACTGAACGGACCCTAAATGTATTACGTGTATTAAAATACATTTTTTTTAAATATTACACACATAGGCGATGTTAAGGGAATACAATAAAAGTTAATTTTACCGGACTTAAAAAGACGTTTCCATACTCCATGTAAACTTTTATTTTTTATATTTTCTTTATTTTTTTTGCTTAAAAACACTTTATATCAACTTTAAGAACAAAAAGTGCATTGTAGGTTCGAGAGAGAAACATTTAAAAAAAAAAAAAAAAAAAAAAAGGGAAGGAAAATTAGGGGCACAAATATTGGCACCAAATCGGTTGTATATATAGAAGCCAAAGGGTACCTTCATCAGCAACCTGAAAGGGCTGAGAAGAGAAGCTCACAAAAACAAAAGCCGAAAACTATCCATCATCGACATCAAACTTACCTCATTTCTCTCTCTCTCTCTCTCTCTCATCACTCATTCGAAGAAAATGGCAGATAATGGTAGGACCCCATCAATCTCACTTTCTCTTTAATCAATCAATTCATGTTCTTGAGCTTCTTTTGTGGTTATGAATTTTCCCATGTGATTTATCTTTTTCCTTTCATGGGTTTTAGGTTCGCTCGACGACTTCCTCGCCTCTGCTGTCGATGCCGCCAAAAAAGCTGGCGAGGTCTATATCTTCCTAACTCATCGTTATGATTAAAATTAATTAGTTTTTAATTTTGTTTAATATGTTTGTCCATCTTTTGCAGATAATTCGTAAAGGATTCTATCAGATCAAACATGTGGAGCATAAAGGCCAGGTTTTTAATTTCTTCTTCTTCTTCTTCTTTTTGTTTGTTTTTTTTTTTTTAACTTAATGTATTTTTGGATTTGGCGACAACGATATTGATAAGTGTCGGTTTTGCATGGCCAAAATTTTGTCTATTATGAGAAATGAGTGCATTGTCTATGAATTGGGCGCTCAAACATTTTCAAAGAAAACCACTAAAGTAGAAAAATTTAGGAGGGGAAAATGTGGGTTTGAAATGGGATCTTGTGCATTTTTTTTTTCTTTTGAAGAAAATGTACGTGTGAAGAGTGATAGAAAGAGTTGAGAAACACTTTCTTGGAAATTACTTCACAGGACAGGGGATTGTTTTTTTTTCCCTATCAATTGGAAGATACAGTTGAGAATGCAAGATTTTCATGGAGTTTGATTTGATATTTCTCGTTTGATTATCTATTGAAAGAATTCGAGAATATTTCATGTTTGGACATATTTCTACTGCAGCAAAATTGTGCACTAGGTGAATGGGATTGCTCTTGAAAGAGGCAATGTTATTAGAAAATTCTGTGGGCTTCTTAATGGGAAACAAATTTTCCCTGCTATAGATTGCGAAGCTGGACCTACTGTCCATGTAATGAAAACAGAGTTTCTAGTAATTGGGAGGATTCCTGCGGAAAGTAATTATTAATATTTGACAAGTATAATATAATGTGTGTTTTTTTGTATAAAGTAGATATATTAAGTGGCAAACAATGTAGAAGAAACAATCTTTGGCTAGATTGGCTTTTACATACAATCTTCGTAATGTGTTTGCTTTTGTCATGTAAAATCACTATTCATAAACAAGTGATTATCAAGTAAAACTATTGAAATTTGGATACAACAAAGTATGTCTCTGCTCATTTGACTTGAAATTTTCTTCTTGTTGGGGAATGCAGGTTGATTTGGTCACTGAAACTGACAAGGAGTGTGAAGATCTCATATTTAATCATCTTAAACAACTTTACCCCACACATAAGGTTAACTCTCGTCTCATTTTTTCATACCTTATGTGTCTACCAAATTGAAAAATCAGATTGTTGCATTTGTTCCTCCTTCTGAACTTGTCGGTATTAATATTAGTTTATCGGGGAGGAAACTACTGCTGCTTATGGTACTACAGAGCTGACTGATGAACCGACTTGGATAGTTGATCCCCTTGATGGAACCACCAATTTTGTTCATGGGTATGCATCAGTATTTTCTGTTGCATTTGATGCTTTCTGGATTGAGTTATTCTCATGGTCTTTAGTCTTACTGCATTATTATCCTTATAGGTTCCCCTTTGTTTGTGTTTCAATCGGTCTTACAATTGGAAAAGTTCCCACAGTTGGTGTTGTTTACAATCCAATAATTGATGAGGTGAGAATTCTTATGCTCCTTATATATAGACTTGACCAATCAGCTACAAGTCTTATCTTATAAGTGGCCTAGGATTATACAAAGTAGTCGTATACACATTCTGTTGCTAATTGGTGGGTGCATCCAATGTATCGAGTGGAAACATTTCATGGTTAGATATAGCGTTGTTTTCAGTGAGTAGCAATGTTGATCACTGATGAAAGTATTAATATGAGGTTTCTGACTTTGTAGCTTTTTTCTGCCATGCGTGGAAAAGGTGCTTTTCTGAACGGAAATTCTATTAAAGGTAATTTGCTACTTGATCTCTAACATCTCGTACTGCTTAATTATCCTCACCAATTGTATCAAAAGAGCTGAACTCTCATGTTTTAAAATATTGCAGTATCATCGCAATCTGAACTTGTGACGTCTCTGCTTGCAACTGAGGTATGTGAGCATTTGAGTTTGATGACAAGGGTAAAAAGACGCTGATAGTATAATAATAGCTTTTGTTGGTCATCCCACTTAATAATATTGGTTTCTGGTTCCGATTTTGTTGTTGGTTATCATATATCTGCCTTTGCATTGGCATCAACTTGATCCCAACATTTTAGCAAGCAAAAATCATATGATTTTCGTCTTTTTCGTTGTTCTGAATATTTTACCTAGTTTAATAGCACTTTTGCTACATGTCTGAAGTAGAAATCATTACTATATCAATCGTGGAAAGTACTACTCATTTCACCTGTTGCTTTACTTGAAAATGTTTAACGTCTTGTTTATTAAGTGTAAATTTGCGGATGGGGTAGTATATCTGCTTTCAATATGCTGGCATATAGACAACTAACCAGATTTTGGTCGTTCTGAAAGAGCAGGCTGGAACAAAACGTGATAAGTTGACAGTAGATGCTACTACAAACCGACTTAATAGCCTACTTTTCAAGGTAAACCCAAGCTTCCATCAATTCACCTAAGTGAAATGCATTGACATCTCATAGTTGGTTTCGGTTTCTGTTTTGATTAGGTGAGATCTCTTCGGATGAGTGGCTCCTGTGCGTTGAACCTCTGTGGAATTGCATGTGGGAGGCTTGATCTATTTTATGAACTCGGCTTTGGTGGTCCATGGTATGATTTTACATTGTTTAAGTGAAAGTCCACTGTTTCATGGGATTGACTTTTTCCGCGCTTTTGCTCAGGGATGTAGCAGGCGGTGCAGTTATTGTGAAAGAAGCCGGGGGACTTGTGTATGATCCGTAAGTATCAAACTTAAATGTAAATCACCGTTGTTTCCATTATTTTGTTTGTTATAAGTTGGGATATGGGAGTTCTAGAGTGGAATAGCATCATGAAACTTTACTCTTCCCATGATGAAAGTGTCAAGTCACCCCTTGTTTTTTTTTTTTCATATGACTATTGTTCAAACCTTTTTGTTACAGTGTTTTTTCTCACAAAATTTAAATTTATATTTAACTTTTCTGTTTGAACCTATGAACCAAACGGACCATTAATCTTCATTTCATAGTCGTTCACAACTTATTTGAAATGGAAATGCTAGTTTTCTTGTAGTGTACAGGTGGAGTAGGCGAGAACATCGGTTAGCATGTATTAGATTTGCTTTATAATAAAAATAATAATACTAATAATAATTTAAATAAATAAAAAACTTTTTCCAGATTTTGAGAATTGTGGTGGTTGTTTTGCATCAGATCTGGTAAGGAATTTGACATCACATCTCAACGAGTTGCGGCTTCAAACCCTCTGCTTAAGGATGCATTTGTTGAGGCCTTGAAGCAATCTGAATGAGACAGCTTCTTCCGTTATATGAAAACTGCAAATTCCCATTTGCTAAACACATTCCAGTTTCGGTAGTACCTTGTTCTTGCTGAGAAAGCATCTAGAAGTCGGTAGTCTGACACTAAAAGAAGAGTTGGTAGTTGTAATTTGGTTCTTTCTTATGGCCCTTGGTAATGCCAAAATTATTTTTAGAATGTACTCAGATTCATATCACATTATTGGTAATAAAGTTATTGGTAATAAAGTTTGCGTTGCTCTTAAGTTGTATCTTTGGGGTGGTTCATATGAGCTTTCCCTCAATGGAGTGAATTTTATTAGTTCAATTGCTACATATCTTTCTTGTATGGTTAACCTGAATCGGCTGAGTTATTCTGATCAAACAAAAACTACTAAGAAGTCCTTTAGGTCCGTACATTTCGTTCAATCAAGTTGAGAACTTAAGTTAAAAAGTGAATTTACGTAAAAGAAAATACTGTAGTAAAATAATAAATTTAAATTTTTATGAGAGAATACTGTAATAAAAAATTAAATTGTAATTCGAACTAGCGAAATGAACGGATCTTTATTGTCTCAGCAAAATAGTACTTTGTTGAAACAGAGGGATGAATGAAGCATGTGTACAGTAACGGAAAGTTTTTCTTGTTTTATTTCCCTTTGTCAAAGTCTCTTTCTTTTCTTTTCTTTTCTTTTTTTTTTTTCCTCAAAAACACCCCTTTGTCAAAGTCTAGAAAATAATTTGTGGAATGTTCTGCCGTCTCCAAATTTGACAAATTGAAATGCGAGCAAGAGAAGCCACTTCACATTAGAAAGTTGAGAACATAGGAAGAAAAATTTGAAAACAAAGAAATGAGATGAAAAGTAATCGAATACAGATAGAGAAAACATATATATTCTAGTGTAATAACAAATATAAATATGTAGTCACGTATATATACCCTCTCAAATAGCACGAGAAGTAGGGTAAAAAAAAAAAGGAAAAAAAAAACTCTCAAAAGCATGTAAAACTCCAAAAACTACTCTAATCAAAGAATTAACCTCCGAAGCAGAAACCAGTACCTCCCTGACGTAACAACTCCTTCACTGAATATACAAAAGCTTGGGAAGAACATACAATAAACATTAAAGAGGAGGAAGAAGAATTCACAAAAGAACCATATCTTCCTAACCCTCTAATCCATCAAGGAAAACACACTCTATACCTCATGGTGTGGCCTAGAACCATTCCCATTAACCCCATTTGTGGCTGCTCCATTCACGCCGTAAGTATCCTTACTCTCCGAACTCTTCCTCGTGAGAACAAAGAACCATGTATAAGCCTCCAACAATACGGCAACAGCGCCCAAAGCGATGATCACGCCAGTGTAAGCTCTCTTCCAAATTTCTTCCGGCTCTAGAATGTCGAATCCTTCGTATATGTTGATGACGCTGAGGATTATGACCGCGTATCCGATCGAGTGGTGATAGATGTTCCAGTAGAGTCTGTATTTGTGGTCCTTCTTCGGCCTCAGAAGCAGAGCAAAAACCTGCATAACCCAACAAATTCACAAACTCTTGATCAGTGAGTATGAAACGACAAACTTTAATAGAGATTCAGAACTCAGGACCACAAGTTCTAACATTACGTCAGTTTACTAATACAAGCGACGTGTTCTGATACCATATTAGTTTATTGATTCTTTCAAAATTTTAAATCGATAGGTAACGCATGTATACCTGAAGAGTTCCTAGGCAGAAAAGGGCGATTCCAATGTTTCTATGGGGGTTTTGTGTGACGCCTTTCGAGTCACTGCCGAGTTTGAGACCGGTTCCCCAACCGGCGACTCCGACAATGTAAGCGGAGGTTTGGCAAGTGACATGAAGATAGAACCACGCAGGGTCTGCTGATTTGAAGACCTTCAAGTACCTTGCTATTATAGCTCCCATTGGCATCAATATACCCCAACTCACTGCGTTTAGTACTCCGTGGACCTGAGAATTTCCATTTGAAATAAGAATAAGAAGTCGGCTTTTGCACATTCCAAATAAATTTAATCATACGTATTTGTTGCTTGTCAATACGACAATTGATTGAGAAATGAAATAGAAATAAGTATCTTTAACTAACCATGAAGAGACAAATTAAGGGGGAAAAAAAAATCATAGTCTACAGGTTTGAAGAAATATTAACTTTTAAAAATTAGTCTTACACGATAATATATTCTAAAACATCAAATTTCGGTGTCACTATTAAATCAATTATTTCCCTTTCTAGGGGCTACTAGAATAAAAATACCAATAAAAATAATTCTCCAGTCGCTAAATTTTTGTTCTGTAATATAAAATCCAGAAGAAAAGTCATAATCCCTATTCCTAAACTTGCTTTAATGTTTTTCTTTAAACTTAAAGCCAAAAAAAAAAAAAAAAATCAATTTATATACTTAAACAAACAATCTTCTACTCCAACCATGACAGAAGAACTAATCAAACAGAGCTAAGAACATAGCAAATACAAACTGAAAAAGTAAAAAAAACAAAATAGATCTTAAGAACTTACGTTTCGCCTTCTAAGTCTGGAATTCCCACCACCAGTGGACTGGGACGTACCGGAGAGCAGATCAAGAGTCCCCTTGGAATTCAGGTTATCAGAGTTGGTGGTGCTGTGCCGCTGCGGCGAGCTTCCCGAGGCGGGACCCGCCTGCCAAACCTGGTTGATTGTCGTCATGTTGTTCGGCAGCGTCCACGTGGCGTATATCGTCACCTCCTCGTTCTCGTACGTCACCGACAGCTCCGTCACGTTGTACTTAAGGTCCCCCTCCGGCAGCGTCGTCGAGTAGCTGTCGATCTTTGACTTGTACACTCTCATCCCTCCTCCGCTTCCCGACTGCGGGACGGCCACCAGCGCCTGGGCGCCGATCATGGCGGAGGAGATTCCGTCGGGGTTAATGGCCCACGACACCCACGTCGACGCCGACACCCCCGTGTGCCGGTACGCCATCTGGAGCTTCCCTGACGACGTATCGTACGTCCAGTGGAGGAACGAGTTCAGCACCGGCAGGTCGTTGCAGCTTCTGAACTGGAGGTTGCTCGTCAACGATTGGCTCTTGCAGGTTTGAGCTGAGGAATATGGGACAAAACAAAGACTGGATATTACGGTGAATAGCAAGAGAATCCTCGGAGCTCTATCCATGGTGATTGATTTTTAGTCCTGAGAATAGGGGAGAGATGTGAGGTTCGGCGAGGATATAGGAAAAGGAACCCAAAAGGCGTTTTGGAAGAGAAGAGTTAAATGGGTTTTGGGTTGAGAAGAAAAAGTGTTGAGAGGAGTTTGGGTTATTATAGGAAGAGTTGTTGGTGGGGTTAGGTTGTTGAGTAGTCCGTTGAGGAAGGTTCCTTTTTTTTTTTTTTTTTTTTTTCCTTTTTGATAATTCTCACCGGTGCCCTCGCATTATAGGATAATTTAAGCTTTGTCTCATAAGTTTAAAAAACTCTCGTTGTTACCTCCGAATCTTTAAACTAGTTCCATTCAACCCCTTGTTAGAATTTTTGTTAAAAATGGACTTAAAAAAATAATAATACAAAGACTATTGTGACTGCACTATCTTCTATTATAGTTATGATTTAAGAGAAATTTTAACAAAGAGGGTTAAATAAGAACTAATGGTAATTAAATGGGAAAAAGGAATAGTTTTTTAAATTTGAGGGACAAATCAAAAATAATTTTAAAATTCAAAGTACACATATTTTTTTTATTAAAAAAGGAAAAGGAGTTAGGAGAACAAGTGAACAACCACCCAATTTCACACCGGCTCTGGACAAATTGCAAATCTACATTCTACAAGCTTGTCCTTCGTTCAACGTTTCAACTACAAAAAGTACGAAATGTTTGGCCTTCGATGTTGACTTCGATGGCTAATTAAGGAAACGGCAATGGCAAGTCCTCTGTCTGCATGCCACGTGTACTCTTTTTTTTTTTTTTTTACGAGGGTGTTTTGTCTTTGGTTTTTAATCCAACGGTGATAACGAACCGCCAAGATAAGTAACTAGTAAAGTCCTCTACTTTCTTAAAATTTTCTTGCGTTTTTCACGTAATTGCATATATCATCTTTGCTTTGCTTCTCATTTTGTGTGTTTACTTTTGGCTCGTTTATTTCGCTGATTTGAGTTTTGTTACAGTAAAAAACTCTCACAAACAATCACTTTTAATTTTTTTATTACAGTAAAAAGCTCTCACATAAAATCACATCTCAAATCGAATCAACGAACTAAACAGATGCAAGAACTTCATTTCGAAACCCAAATATTGTACCAAATTTTCTTTCTTTTTGTTGGCCACCAGACTGTAACCTACATGGACAAAATTAAATATTGTGATGTCAAGTTTGGATACCCTGGCGAAAATTGAAAATTGCAGCAGCCATAAAATAACAAAGCAGGTGGCATTTTTTGAAAAAACCATTAAGCCATATAATGAAATTTTACTTTTATTCTATATCAAAGCTTAATACATAAATAACACGTTCATTTTTTTTTTTTTTTGGATATAAAACCTGCATATAAAAAAAGAACAATAATAATTATTAATAGTAACTCTGTTTCCTTAAAAAAAATAAAATAAAATAAATAAATAACTCTGTTTCCAAACAATACACAATTGACTAACTAAAGTCAAACTCCGAGTCAAACAAAAGCAGCGTTCCCATTGCAGGCCATAGCAACCATCCGCGAATGAGTTCGCTTTCTTTTTTTTAATTATTATTATTTTGAAGAATTCGCTTTTTTTTTCTTTTATTTTTTTTCTTCTAACAATAAAATACAAAAAGAAAAAGAAAAAAAAAACTGTAACAGAATCTCCGTCAACGCAGTTTTGGACGTACAGCAACCTGGTACAACTGTGTCAAAGACGCTCCTATTCAAAAGGAAATGAAGACCGTACGAAACAACTGTTTTGATAATCCTATTTAATTGTTGCATAAATTCTGTTTTTATCTACTCAAATTATCTAACCAATTAGTAGCCAAACTCTATTTAAATCAATTGCTAAAAAAAACTCTATCTAAACCCACACATTATCAACTATCAGGTTTTTTATAGAATGCAACTTATATATATATATAATTCTTTAGAAATTCATTCTCTCAAATTAAACCACCAAAAAAATGACATAAAACCGATATAGACTTATCGAAGAAATTAAAATTACACAAATGGGTTAACTTATTTATGAGAATAAATTATCCAATGTATATGAAAGTTTGAATGATTCGGCTCATATTGAATTTTTGAAGTTTAAATCCAACCATATCTATTTACTCTAATTAATTGAAGAAATTTAATATCTAAGTTCAGTCCAATTATTATTGAATACCCAATTCAGTTAGCTCAAATTTGTATTAAATCGATCGAAGTAATTAGATGAATTAATTATTTTCCCAGCTAAATGTAAATAAAAAATAATTAAAAAAAAAAGGAACATTGTACTCCAGGGGCTAGGAAAGAAAATGATGGTTGGGTGGAGGTGGGGCAAATTCCCCCATGCCCAGCTGGTCAAACCAAATCCGCCAAAGTCCATTTATCTGGGGCCCACTGCCACGCGGAGGAAGATAATCAAGTCAAATCACTGGCCTTGTGATTTTGCTGGCTGGCCCAAGAACCAAGAATAATATACCCACTCCATCAACAAGAACTCGCATTGTCTTCAAGCACCGCCGCATTACCTTGTCGTTTCCCCCCTTGTCCTCTCCTGCTTCCCGCGTGGCCCCCAAAACTACGCCCACAAATACACACACACACACACACACACACACTCACATTTTTCATTTTGTTACTTCCACTTTTTTATTAGATGATTAAACTTTTTAATTGAGTCCATAGCACTGCAGAATAATTAAACTCCATTTATTTTATTAATTTAAGTTTAAAATTTTAATTTTATTACAGTAAAAAATTTTAGAAACAGTCACATTTAATTTTTTTATTACAATAAAAAATTTTCACATAAAATCATATTTTAACTCAAATTAAAAATTCAAATCAACTAAACATGTGGTTACTAATAAAAAATAATAATAATAATAACATAATAATGGTAATATATGTGATTACCCACCAAACGACAGAAATCAGAATCTTTGCATAGCGTGAGCTGTGTGTCACATAATCTGAAAAAATGACTAATTAACCCAAAAAAAAATTAACTGGTTTACTTATTTTTCTCGTTAAAGGTTATTAAACCAATTTCTATTTACGAGTCTATTAAAAGCAGGAAAATAATAGAAAATATGTCAATATAAAAAGTTTAAGAAAATATATAGGTTAATTTTTAATTATATAAATTAATAGGCCATAACTTATCAAGTTATGGTTCATAATCAGATAAGTTATGGAGAAACTTATCAAGTTATGGTTCATAGCCAAACAAGTTATTGACAAAAATCATGAATTATGGACAATAATTTGTTAAGTTATGATTCATAACCAGATAAATTATGGACGAAAACAGTAATTTAGCCTATTTATTAACTTATGTAAACTATTGGCTTATTAATTTTAATTCATCTCAAATCTTGACATATTTCTTTCTTTCTAAAAGCGGCACAATATATTTGTGAGAAGTAGAAACAAATAAAATGCTCATAATTTCTACCCCCTTGATTGGCGTATTTGAATTACTGGAAGTGAGAGGATTTAGCAGTACTTGTTGCATGCAATAATATTAATGATATAGTTTATTTGATTTATATATTTATTTTGTAGAATTATTAATTTATATATCTTTATAGTTTGATTGTGCCGTAATTTTCACTTTCAGAGTTGTTGTGGATGTTGGACGTGGCAGTTGAATTATTGGAGCGGGGGATGATGAGATTTTGGTTATGTTTGGAGTTATTTTTGTTTTTGTTTTTTACCTTTTTTGAGTAAGAAAAAATAAAAACGGGAGAGAAATGACGTTTCGCACAATTAAAGATAAAAAATAGAAATAAAAATAATTTTTTAGTTTAGTATAAAATGAGAGAGCAATGAAAAATAATTTTTAGTTATTTTTTATTTTTGTTTTCTCCTCTCTCGATGAGAGAGAGAGAGACATTAATGGATTTAATGGATTTTTTTATACTGAATACAATCTTTTAATAAAACAACCAAACGTATTTTTAAAAATAATTTTTGTCTGAGATTGAAAACGTCTTTATTTCTATTTTCATACAAAAAATAAAATTATTTTAGAACGAATTCCAAACACACTTTTTATTTTCTTTTTATTATTATTAAATGCAGTAAGAAAAATTTTTTTATAGAAAGGATGCAATAATATTATTGCTTTTGCAGCTAGCACTCTACCTTTTATTTCATGCTATATGCATCTCCTCTTTTTTCCTCTTATTATTATTATTATTATTATTATTTCTTTTGGAGATTACTCTAATTTTCAGAGAAATAGTGGTAGTGAGAACTTAGACCATTTAAAATGCATGATTTAATATTATTATTTTCCCCAATTGCAAACATGATTTTCTACTTAGGCATTTCTGATTTGCAACCAATTTTATTTAATTTCATAAATGTGTTTTGAGGTCAACTACCCTCATCGTTTTTGCTTATCCTTTTAAATTTCTTGATGGTCGATATATTAATATGGTATAAAAACGTATTTCTTGCAAAAAAAAAAAAAAAAATACTCCAGTTATATACTTTTTCAACTACGGAAATTGTCAAAGTCAAGATATATAATACATTTATGACGTTGTCAATGTACATATTTTCAATATTGACACGCAAGATGTCAATGTACATATTTTCAATATTGACATGCAAGTTGTGGATTAATTTCTTTCAAAATTCTTGTAGTTATATAATTAATTATATGGTCATATTTTCGCAAAAGAAGACTTGGCCCCAAAGGATATATACGTCATACATGAACAATTTACACAACATCAAGAGAGATGGTGAATATTTAAAAAAACAGAAAAAAGGTGGGACTCGGTCCACATATATATGTACATACACATTATATATAATATGTTTGTACAAGAATTATAATATTACAAAACTAATGAAGCAATATTATTGTATTTTCACCGTCCTGACGATCCTATAGTACAATTAATATCGACTTGGAAATTTTGATGTACGGCTTATTAATATGGCCGCAATGACAAACAAAAGAGAATAGAACAAAAAGATTGTTAATCAGCCGGACATCAGAAATTGTAATGCAAGGTTCTGAATGCTTTTATATGTGCTACTATATACATATATATATATATAACTCATACATATAGATATCATCCGGTAAATGTAAGGTGTAACG